AATACATGTGTGGAGGACCAAAGTTGGTATCATGTGTCTTCCCTTGATTCCTTCACACTCTGTCAAGACAGAGTCTTTCATGTCTCATTGAACTCAGAGTTTGCTAGGCTAGCTAGCCAGTTTGCCTCAGGGATTCTGTCTCTGTCTCCTGAGTGCTAGAATTACAGGCGGCTGCCACCTGCCATCTTTTATGTGGGTTCTGGGTGTCCAAACTCTGCTCCTCACAGTTCTCTGACAATCTGCTTAGTCCCTTGTTTTCTGATTTTTTGTATTAGTCAGTCTGGTTCCTTCTACCCACTAATAGCTGGAGTAGAACTAATCATGGTAATTGCAGTAGTAAGAATTCATGATTAAACACTTTAGCACTGATATCAACTTTTTTCTCACATGTACTTGTTACCTAGAATGGATTGCTTGTCACTTCGGGTGTGGGGTCAAAATGCCTGCCTATATGATAAGTTCAAGTCCTTTGTGTCTCTCAAGAATTATTCGACTTGAGCTGGGCAGTGGTGGCGCACGCCTTTAATCCCAGCACTTGGGAGGCAGAGGCAGGTGGATTTCTGAGTTCGAGGCCAGCCTGGTCTACAGAGTGAGTTCCAGGACAGCCAGGACTACACAGAGAAACCCTGTCTTGAAAAAAACAGAACAACCCAAAACAACAACAACAACAAAAGAATTATTCGATTTGTGTCCAGCCAGGAAACACAAGCCCCTGGTCAGAGTTACATAGTGAGACCCTGTCTCAAGGAAAGCATGCAGAAAAATTTCAAACAAGTTCTAATTCCAAACAAATTCTATTCATTTTGATGTGTATTCTTAATGCCAACCTCATGTAAAGTGATGCAGGCAAACCCTAAATGTATAAAGTAAGTTTGTCCATTGTATGCTGTGAGGAGCCAAGAGGAGATGACTTCAACCTGTTTCTTTTACTTTGTTTTTATAAAAACATTTCATTTAAATTTAACTTATAGATTAAAAATTTATAATTTACTTATCAAAAAATATATAAAATCCACATTTGTTTATTCTCCATGCTTGTTACATGCATTTATAGGTGAGTTTCTTGCCTAAACCATAGCATGTGGAATGATTTAATATATATTTATTTCCATGAGAGGCATGAATCCAGACATTGATGGTGATTGCTGAATGAGGGCACGTTCTGTGGCAAGTTGTTAGGAAAAGCTTCCCAGAAGAGCAATGGAGGTGGGATTTCAGTGTGACCTCAGGTGGCCTGGGCAGCTTTTGTGACTAGTTAACTCCGTGCTAGAGGTGTGAGCTGAAGTACAGAATGAGGTGCATGTTCACGTGAGTAGTTAATGCTCTGTTTGACTGGAATATGGGGTATGTCTGGAGGGTGGGCATATGTATCAGGGGATAGCTCTGTGTGTGTGTGCACGCACACGAGTGTGTGTGTGTGGTGTGAGTGATGTGGGAGGGTAGCAGTCAAGCTGGGTCATCCACTAACCACTAACCAATTGATGTACTTACTGAGTTTTCCTGGCTTTGTGTCTTTCAGGAGGTTCATGAGTTATTACAGGACTATGAGCTAAAGTATTGCTATGTGGACAGGAATAAACGAACAGGTGAGAGTCCCTTCCAAGCCCTTGGCCTCACTTTCATTTTGCATGTATTATAGAGCAGGAAAGCTCACTGTCTTTTCATGTTGAACTGACTTCTGGTGCTGGGGATTGAACTCACGACCTTCACAGGTGCTGGCAAGCATTTTGACACTGAGCTCTAGTCTCTGTCAGCTGTGGGGTTCCTAAGTGTAAAGTCCCATCAGTGTGACTCACTGGTTACTTTGTGAATGTCCTGAACTTAACCAGTAAACAAATTCAGTGTAACTGGAGCTTCGTGATTTTTTAACCATGAATGTTGAATGTTATGTGTTACCAAGTGTTCTTCAGGGGTGTGGCATACTTCCATCCAATGTTACTGGCTTCTGCAGACCCACTGTGTGTGTAGCTTGACCTTTAGTTGGACAAAGTAGGAAGCTTGCTTAGTTTTTCTGAGTATTAGTTTCATATCTTTGAGATCAGAACTCAGTTCTTTTATGGGCATATGATTTATAAGTGTTGATGAGCAGTTTTTGAGATGGTTAAACACAGCATGGATGATGTTAAAGCCACTGTGTACATGTGTACTTCAATGCAGATGGTACCTGGGGACTGGGACTACAGCTCCGTGTGGAGCACTTGCCTAGCATGTGCAAGGAAATGGGTTTGATCCAAGCATTGCCCCCAAGGAGTAGAGCTAAAGCCCCAATGTTTATTACTGAGTTAAAAACCACAACAACAACAATAAAAACCCTAGGAAAAGCCTCCAAAATACGGAGAAACTCCAGTTCCCACCATTTTGCATTCTCCACCTGGAGGAAGCACTCAGGAATCTGTTTCCAGTTTGGCATGATCACCCCTAAATTGTTCCAGGTTCTTTTGGGCATGAGATACTCTTTTGTTGTCCTTCCTAGAAGTCTTGAAAGGTCACATGATTTGTCTCTTTAAATGCTAGTGGGTGTGGCATGTGTTCCTTCAGGGGAGGACTTCAGTGCCAGCGGGTGCTCGATGCCCTCAGAATCAATTACTTGGACCAGTTTGATTGGTCTCACAGCCCCCTGCCACTTCTGAGTTGGAAACCCCACATTGGTTAACTCTCGTTTGAATGTCTTGTGTCCCCAGTTGGAATGTGAGCTCAACGTTGAACAACAGGGCCTACCCTGTAGCTAGACATACTAGTAAGTAGGAACGGCTTGATAGGGTGAGAACAGGGAGGCTTGGAGCTTTTGGATATCTGAATTTGGCTGCCCCCGTGAGTATTCTGCCAGGAAGGCCCTTGCTACCTTTCACGTGTGAGCAGAGGAAGGTGTGGCAAAAAGGAGTGGAAGGTGAGCTCAACAACTGTGCAGACATAGGGAACGTAAAGGGACGACGGTCAGCCACTTCAGGTTCCCCAGCACTTCAGCCTAAGCGCATGATTTCATGGGCCATTGTAGAACTCATCCTGTATTTATAAAATGGTTGTGTATGTGTTTTAGGAAAAAGAGTTAGTGCTACAAGTGAGCCTGGTTGGGCTGTGGAGGCATAGAACCTGTAGTGGGCGTGCCTGTGAGTCTGGACTTTATACACAGGAGAAAGTGAGCACCAGCTTTGGTTACTCTCTGCTTCCTGACTGGATGTTGTAGACCAGCTGCCTCAAGTTCTTGCCACCAGAACTTCCCCACCATGACAAGCTGGACACCCAAGCTGTGAGCCCAAATACAACTTCCTTTCTTTAGGTTGTATGCTGGCTAGTTTTATGTGAACTTGACACAAGCTATAGTCATCTGAGAGGAGATAGCCTCAATTAAGAAAATTCCTCCATAAGATTGTGCTGTAGGCAAGCCTGTAGGGTATTTTTAAAATCAGTGATTGATGGGGGAGGGACCAGCCTATTGTGGGTGGTACCACTTATACAGGTGGACCTGGGTTCTATAAGAAAGCAGTCTGCGCAAACCAGTATGATCAAGCCAGTATCTAGTACCCATTCATGGCCTCTGGATCAACTTGTCTTGTCCTGTTTGCATTCCTGTCCTAGCTTCCTTCAGTGATGGACTTCAGAATGGAACTGTAAGCTGAATAAACCCTTTCCTCGCCATCTTTCTTTTCGTCATGGTGTTTGACCACAGCAATAGAAACTCTTAAGACAGAAATTGGTACCAGGACAGTGGGATATTGCTGTGACAGACATGACCATGTTGTTTTGTGTGGGATTGTGGAAGGACTTTGGAACTTTGGACGAGAGCAGCCACTAAGTGTTCAAAGCTTGGTTTTGTGGAACCTTAGATGCTAAGAGCAATGCAGATGATGGAGGCCTGCCTTGGGAAGTTCCAGAGGGAAGTTTGAGAATTACTTAAAGATTATCTGGCATGTTGCATTTTGAGTTAATATTCTGTGGTTCTGGAAGCTGGGACTGAAGAGTCGGCAGTGATTAACCAGAGACCAGACCCACAGAAGTAAATGTTTGCTTTCCTGGGACAATTGATGCTGTTTGGCTGGTGCTGAGAAACTAGCAGTGATTGCGACCAGCATCACAGGTGAAACCTTCTGAGAAGTGTTTCCTGAGAGTTAGCACATAGAAGCTGGGTTGTATCTTGTGCTGGCAGCTGAACTTGGTAGTGTTTAAGAGTCGCACAGGTGGAAATGGTTTTGAAGGCATGAAGAACAGCTGAGGCTTGGCACTGTGAGAGACCAGAAGACACCATTGGTGAAGGTGAAGCCTCAGTGGCAGTTGAAGGCCCAGGATCAAAGGAGTCATGGAGAAAAGTTGAAGCTGGGCACCATGAATAGACCCCAGGGGAGGCTATTGGTGAAAACGCAGCTCAGTTGCAGTAAGACCCCAGCATTTTGGAGATGCCATTGCCATGAGATGATCACTAATAGTAGCAGTGGTGGCGGAGTGGAGTCTGCCCAGCCATAGAAGACAAGTTGTGTGTGCTGCAGAGGGCAGAGCTGGCGAAGTGACCCAAGCCTCCTGGAGGAGTGCAGTTATTTACACAATTGGAGATTTGGTTTTGCCTTGTTCAGACTGACTGTGCCCTGCTTCTTCCTTCTTGAAGTAAGAAAGCATTTAATTTATTTTTTATTTTACAGGAGCCACTAGTCGAGAGACTTTAAGCTTCTTAAAAAGAGATTTTAGAATTTTACTGAGACTTTGGGTTTCAAAAGTCTTCTGAATACTTTTGGATACTTTTTAAGAGAAAACTTTTTAAAGTCTTTAAATTTGTAATACTTCGGGACTTTTTAAGTTGTTACAATGTTTTATATTGTGATGTCTTTTTGTTTGGTTTTGTTTGTTTTTGATACAGAGTTTTTCCTTGTAGCACTAGCTGACCTGGAGCTTGCTCTGTAGACCAGGTGGCCTGGAACCTAGAGATCTATTTGCCTCTCCCTCCAGAGTGTTGGGATTAAAGAAGTGTACCATCACCATATGTGATGTTGGTAATGAACAACAACAAAAAAAGCTGTGACTTAACAGTGACATGGTTGTGTGTCAGGTTGAGAAGGGGTCAGTTGTACTGGGTAGTTTCAAGATGATTTGACACAAGCTAAAGTCATCTGAGAGGAGGGAACCTCACTTGAGAAAATGCCTTCATAAGATCAGGCAGCAGACAGGCCTGAAGAGCGTTTTCTTCGAGATGAATGGTGAAGGGCCAGCCTGTCATGGTGAGCTATAAGAAAGCAGGCTGAGCAAGCCAATAAGCAGCACTTCTCCATGGCATCTGTCTCCTGGGTCCAAATTTCTGCCCTGTTTGAGTTCCTGTCCTGACTTACTTCAGTGGTCATGGTGTAAGCCTAGCTAAGACAAGTGTATTTGTTAGGTCATTTTATCACAACAGCAACAACAAAATAGTTAGTAAAACCCAAAACAAACCAACCTCTAAAACAAATGATATTGGAAATGGAGAGTTAATTCTCTCAATGAAGATGGCAGAGCTGATCTTGCTCCCCTGTTGGCAGACTTAGATGTGGAACTGTCCTTGGCATGTGGAGAGAGCACAGTAGAAACCTTGTTGCTTTAAATGTCAGAGAGGTACAATGCTCACAGTCTGAGAGCTACATGGTCACCAAGACCGACCTGTGCGATTCTCCCTTCCTCACCCATGTGCATTTGCTCTGAACCACATTAGGACTCTGCTCTGTTTGAATCTGGGGGAAGTAAGTGCTTACAAGCTGTCCCACTGTGCTCCCTAAGGAGACGGGGCACTTTTGGAGAGCAGCTCCCTTGTGATTTGTAGATTGTTCTGTGGTATTTTAATTAGAGGCTTTGGGGATTTCTTACAAAAGTTCTTAAAATACTTATGTTCGTTAGTGAAAACAGATAAATTAATATAGCTAAAATTTAATTCTAATATGAATCATTATATTTCATTGATTTACAACTCACATGTGTCATTTTTTTTTTTTGAGGCAAGGTTTCCCTGTTCCAACTATGCAGCCCAGAGTGGCCCTGAATTTATGGTCCCCTGTCTCTGTCTCATGTGTGCTGAGATTCTAGTTGTGTCCCCAGCCAACTATGTCATGTTTTTTATTTCTTACATTTTATTTCTTACATTTGATGCTGAAATAGCTTAGGTAGCTTTTCAAATTGTTGATCTGGATTTAAGGTTAAAACACTTATCCAAGCTCAGAATCGTGTTATCTTTTCATTTGCTGTTATTTATCGAAATTGTATATGGCATTATATACATTCATGGGTTCTTTGACGCTAGCCAATCTGGTTCTATTATTATATCCTTTTTAAAAATTACACTGATTTAGTGTTGTATATGTGTATGTGTACGTGTGTGTACGTGCACGCATGCACATGTGACCAAAAGACCACTGTGGCAGTTGTCCACTGTTGTCTCTTCTCCTACTGTCCGGGTCCTGGGATGAACTTGCTCATCAGGGTTGGCATTGCTGAGCCATGTCACTGTCTTAATTGATCTTAATGATATGAAAAGGATGCGGAAAAGCTGGTTTCCTTCAGGCATTTTGGCATCTTTGACTGTACTTTCAGTTTTTTCAGGTCTATAAAGGTCTTTGAGATCTTTCTGGGGGAAAAGATCTTGTAACCTCATTTTAACTTCATTGAGGATTTTTATAAAGGCTTCATAAAACTTTACATTGTTTTTGAGGGAGTTCAAATTTGTGTGTTAGAAAATGCAACCACAAACAAAATCCCTCAGAATAGGGTGGCGCTTATAGTGGAATTCCTAATATAATTACCAAGCTTTTTATTTGAGCAACTGGCCATGAAATTGGTCTAGTGGAGCATCAGCATTAAAAAAAAAAAGTAAATTAGAATTGGAAAATCAGGGTGGAGGGATGGATGGCTCAGTGGTTAAGAATGTGTTCTGAACAATCACAAGGACCTGAGTTTGAATCCCAGCACCCACATACCAAGCCAGGCATGTCTCACATGCTCCCGTAAGGTCAGCTCTGAGTAGGACTGACCAGAGGGATACAGTAGCTTCTAGAAGCCACTGCCTTCCTAGCTAAGATTGCATCTCCAGTCTTCAGTGTACTCGGCCTCCCTTGCTGCCCTGCCCTGCCCTTTTACTTGCTGGCTGCAGCTTTGCTAAGAAAACAACTCTGGGCTGAGAGGAGAGAGTCCATCTCAAAGGGATTAGGTAGAGAGTGACAGAGGACACTGACGCCCTCCTCTGGCTACTATGTGCACTCACATGCCTGCCTACCTACAATCTGCATACATACATGTACAACACACACACACACATACACACGAGTGAGAGAAAAGCAGTTTCTAAACAATAAAAGAATCGAGTATATTGCAGGTCAAGGTGTGGTGTATACTCTGGAGGCAGAGGCAGTTGGATCTCTGAGTTTGTAGCTAGCTTGGTCTGTATAGTGAGTTCCAGGCCAACAGGAGCTAGATGGCGAGAGACTGTCTCAAAAAGTGGAATGGGGTGGGAGGGGGCATTACACATGATAGGGTATATTTTGTGATGACTTTGTTTTAGGAGAAGATACATACATTTGTATAGACTATGGGTCACAGCACAAGACAAGGAAAGGACTGACCTCAAACCTTGCCAATCCCTCTGTTGTCTTGCAGCTTTTGTTACCTTATTGAACGGGGAGCAAGCGCAGAGTGCAATTCAGAGGTTTCATCAGTTTTCTTTCCGAGGCAGAGAGTTGACGGTGCAGCTGCAGCCCACAGACGCTCTGTTGTGCATCACCAACCTGCCCGTCTCCTTCACGTTAGAAGAGTTTGAAGAACTTGTCCGTGCCTATGGCAACATCGAGAGATGTTTTTTGGTCTACAGTGAAGTTACTGGCCACTCCAAAGGCTACGGGTTTGTTGAGTACATGAAAAAGGACTTTGCTGCCAAGGCCAGACTGGAGCTACTGGGCAGGCAGATGGGAGCCTCGGCACTCTTCGCACAGTGGATGGATGTTAATCTCCTGGCCTCGGAGCTCATCCATTCTAAGTGCCTTTGTATAGATAAACTCCCCAGTGACTACAGCGATTCAGAAGAGCTCTTGCAACTTTTTTCCAGTATCCATAAACCTGTGTTTTGCCAGGTATGTATTTTTTAAGAGCCGATTTGATATACCTAAGAATACTTGCATTTGTATTTGATCGGTCCCTATATCTATATCCTGTTAATCTCTCGTATTCATCGGAACATCATAGCGGCAGTCTTGATTCTGCTCCAGCCTATAATGAGGACTCTAAGGAGATTTTAAGTCATCTCCTTCTGTTGATGGTCTGAACTCTGTTGCTTTGGTTCACTACGTCAGAGCAAATCCATTACTTATTCCCCTTGTCATTCCCTGAGTTGTTTAGCCATTCATCCATTAGCCCATTCTTTTCTCCAAGTTATGTTGACCACTGTCTCTGAGCTGGGCCAGTGCTAAGTTATATCAGAAATAGAGTAGAGCACTGTATCTCAGTGCTCCACTTCCAGGGACCAGCCTCGGCTTGGTTGCAGCTCTTAGGAAGGGATGTTTGGGAGCAGCTAAAGAACGACTCAAAATCAGTTGTGGGTACAGGCTTATATTCTGCTCGAGACAGCTCTCCAGGGATCTCCAGACAGCTCAGCTCTAGCCTGAAAAATTCTAGGTTTTCCAACCAAAGTCAGAAATCCTGCTAGAGAAATTCTAAAAGAGCTGTAACAGTCTCTAGGATATCTTTCAGGGTGTTCTGACTAAAGTCAGAAATCCTGCTAGAAAAATTCTAAAAGAGCTGTGTTCACTCTCTAAGCAGTTCTTTCTGGGTACCTTTCTCTTGCAGACAAAAGCCCAGTCTTTTATTTTCATATCGATTCAGTCGTTTACTTCAGGTTCCCTTTTGATTATTCCTTAAATCAACATTTTATGAACTTAGCCCCTTGATTCTTAGGAAAAGGCACCAAGTAAAATTTTTTAACATGGTAAATGAATTCAGTAATCTGCTTGACTTTGTAAGCACAGACAATAAGCTAGCTGGGTGGGATCTCACTCTGAGAGCAACATTCCCACCATGCCTGGGAGTAAACTCTCTCTGACCTTGAACTCAGGAATCTGTCTGCCTTTGTAAGCACAAACAATAAACTTAGCTGGGTGGGATCTTACCTTGCAATCACTACTCCCCAAATCTCTTCTCCTTTCTTAATATCTTTTGACAAGCTGGCTCATAGTGCAGCTGCCTTTATTTATTTATTTTTTTAGGTCTGTGAAGCCCCTCATGTAATTCATATTGTATCCTTATATTTTGCATAGTTGAAAAATCCTGTTTTATCTATTTTTGAACTCATGTTTTTAGAGTTCTTCCCCATAGCCTTAAGGGCTATCCTGAAGGTCATAGCATTAACCGTTTTGCTAAGGAATTAAGACATTTCTTCACCTCCCAGACTCGAGGTGTCTCTGATTATCATGGAGTCATTAACCTCGACAGAGAAGGCATTCCCCAATAACCGTAACAGGGAAAATATTTCTTGAAGGAGGAACATAAAGTAAATTACATTCATTATTTTATAAACAAGTCTTATGCCTAGCAACTATCAGCACTTGTGGAGGCCCATGTCCAGCTTTCTCTGCTCCAGGGTTGGGAACTGTGTCATCTGTACCTTCCACATGGCCATGCAGGACTCAGCACTTCACAGTTTGGTAGGTGAGAGTGACAAGTGAACAAATATTTGCCAGTCCTCTATGAAGAGCGACTTACTGGAGAATAGCGAACTTGGATAAAGGTTAGGGGAATCGCCTACTTCTGTCTGAATGGGACTGTGATAGGGGAGGCATGTAGAGAAGATCCTGGCCATCCTGGTGAGGATTTCCAAGCACTTCATCACAGTAACTGCATCCTAATAACTGCACAGAGACGTGCTGTGTGACGCCTCACCTTGCAGCTTTCTGATAGCAACAGACTAGTTCTCTTTGTTTCCTTTATGTCCTTCTTTTTGCTCCCTTCCTTTATGTCCATGTTTCCTGTCTCAACTCCCTTCCTTTTCTCCTCTCACCCAATAGTTGTCAGATTCTCATATTGCAGTGAAATTTTGGAGTTGGTTTGTGTGTACACATGTGTGTGTATTTGATGTACGAGTGTATGTTTAAATGGGCAGATAAACTTATATGCATCTGTTATGCCTAGCATGATTCTGTGAAATGTGCACACATGGAGGGGAGCACATTTTGTGATCTATCTCCTGAACTTAGGTTTTCCTATCTAACTTAAATTTTATACCTTGTAACAAACTTTTCTATTGGTGACTCCATTATCCACTGGTGAACGCCAGTCTGCTCCCTGCTTTCTAGAAGATTGTCCTTTCCAGACTGTGCATGTGAGTGAGATTAGGCTGCATTACTCATATTTTAGAGTTTAGTATGAATGGCTCCATCTTGCTTTTTCTCACATCTTTGCTCCTCCTGTCCCAGTAGTAAAGCGTTAAAGAAATCAAGACTTGTATAAAATTAGAATATTTTGCAATAAACCTTTGACCCAGCCTGCTCAGTTACTGGAAGCAGATTGGTCTAGTGATGTCCTGATATTGTTGAACTCTAAGAGTTACATAGTGCTGTCATCCCATGTCTATTCTTCCTTCTCCATGGCGTATCAGAGGCCTTTAGAGCACACGTGAAGGGCAAAGCCATGCACCTGAACTGTGAGCCCAAGAGTCAGCAGAAACCTTACACATCACCTTGTCTAGCTGTACAGTGTTAAACTCTGTTTCTGCTGTTCCCATGAGTGACCCTTAGCTCCTGCTAAATGTATCAAAAGAATGGAAACTTCTTTGTGTAGTTCTGGTATTGAGCAGAGTGTCCCACTCCAACTCTGCTGATGTGGGTTAAAAGAGATTGGTTTAGGAAGCCTTCAGGTGGAACACTTTAGGTAAGAGTGAATGTCATTCCACTGAAACAACTTCAGAAGTGGTTTAAAGCTTCACAAGTATATTAAGGTGGCATCTCCATGGCTCCTTACCCATGGGTCTGTCACGTCCAGGTTCTTGTCCCTGTAAGCTATCAGAGGGTACACTGGAGACTAACTCTCTTGCAGTCAAGGGACCAGAGGGACAGCTGGCTTCATCAGCTCTGATCTGAAGATCTGGATTCAATTATAGGAGGAATTGAGTTCTTAGAGGAATACTTGGAAGAGGTAGATATTTTTCCTTTGCCCTACACATTTGGAAAAAGCTTTTTGAAAAAAAAATAATTTAAGAGAGTTTAAAGGAGTAAAAATCTTGAAGGGGAGAAAAATGGAAACTTAGCCTAAGTAAACCAATGAAGTAAAAGTTACGCTGTTTGTTTTTGTTTGTTTGAGATAGGGTTTCTCTGTGTAGCCCTGGATGTCCTGGAACTCGCAGAGGTACATCTGCCTCTACCTCCCCAGTGCTGCGATTAAAGTCATGCACCATCACCACCTGTCAAAAGTTAATCTTTTAAAATAAAGAAACAAAAATATTCTGAAGGACTCAAAGTATTTACTTGTAATATTAACACAAACTATAAAACCCAGATAATAGGGTTGTGTGTTTGTGACTTCTCAAAGATGCAAGCTTGATTTTATCAACCTGTCACCGTGGAGGGTGTAAGCCTATTAAGATCCTTCAGATGTGTTTGAATCTCAGCTGTATGATAGTGATGTATTCCTTCTTCCCTCTGCTCTTCATGCCTGTCTGTAGAGCCAGGACTTTACTGTTGTCCTGTGTACTCCTATAGATGGGTGACAGAAGTAGACCCAGGTCCATGTGTGGTAGCTCGTTAGCCCATACTTGAAAGGGAAGGCTTTATGCTGCCAGTGATGGAATATCAAACCTAGGCATGAGTTTCATAAATGAGATTTATTGTTTAGTTTGACCAGATTCCTGAGATTTGCTTAATACGTTGAAGTAGAAGTTGACTGTGGCTCCTCCCACCTGTCGTCATTTGATAACACCATCTTTTTATTGATATATAATCACTGTTTTCATTATCCATGAATCTGGTGTCACGTTTTGAAGAGAGCTTTAATATAATTACTTAACTATCTTTTTTATTATCTGTTAATTGTGTATATATTTCATAATAAGTAGGAGACTGTTGACTGTTAAGTTAGAAGATGAAAAAATTGAATTGAAATCCTTACCTTCGAGAACAAATTTAATATTGTCACCATTACAGGCTGAGGGCCTAGCTGTTGAATTTCGAAATGATTACTTGTAAACAAATGATCATAAATCAATTTTAGGATCTCCTTTTTAATGTGCTGTGTGGTATCAGCTTGCACAGGATGAAGGAAGTCACGGTGGTGGCTTTGCAGTGGTTGAATATAGCACTGCAGAGCACGCTGAAGAGGTTCAGCAGGTGGCAGATGGCATCACCATCAAGGGGAGCCAAGTTCAGCTGTCCTTCTGCGCCCCAGGAGCACCAGGGCGGAGCACTCTAGCGGTCCTCATAGCGGCTCAGCGCTCGGTGAGTGGCTTGCTGCTTAGACAACCTGGAGATGACCTTCGCCTTCCAAGTCTAGCTACAGTTAGTAGTCCTTCCCTGGGCTGCTGTCGTTTGCATATGCTGAAGACTTACATGTTATTTTAAATAATAAGTGTATTTTTTAAAAAAGCTGGCCAAGTGGGATAAGTCAAACCAAACCAGAAGTTGAGAGAGCCAGAGTGAATTTATAAAAATGTATGTAGTCATCTTGAGTAATTTCTGTGCAGATGTGCAAGTAATGTGCATGTTTATGTGTGGAAGCCCGAGGCTGTGTCAGGGTTTTCTTGATCACTCTCCATTTTATTTATGGAGCTGAGGCTCTCACTGAATCCAGAGCTCACCCATTCCAGCAAGCAGCCTGCCCTGGGGCCCCTGTCGGCTTCCCAAGTGCTGGGATTACAGTCGACAATCGGATCTGCCTAGCTTTTAATATGGGCTCTGAGACCCAAGCTTTGGTCTTTACACCATAGGTGCTTTATCTCCCCAGCTACTGTCCACAGCAATTTTTGAAAGAATTTCTGCAAACATTTTAGCCACTATGAGCTTTAAGTTTCAAGTGTCAGCTGGTTTTCCTTAGAAGTTGTCATAACACAGATTCCCACGGTGTAGTTCCCAGCTTCCAAGATGAGGAAGATGTCTGCCTCTTTCTGCTCACATGGTGCCAGACACTTGTCTCTTCCCTGTGACTTCCTCTAGTTGGAGGGTCCCTTAGATATGGACGATGTCTTTACAGTTTTCACCTCAGCACAGTACATAGTTGATGTTCAATGAAGGGAAGGGATGGATACTCTTTTGAGAGGATCAGAACAAACGTCATGCTGAAGATGGCATTTGAGTGTGACATTAAGGGACGGGTGAGGGATTGACATGTGTTGATGGGGGTGGAGGATAGGGTTGCCAAGGAAATCCAGATTTTTCATGAGACATAATCCTATTACAATTATTCGTTTATCTGAACTCCGAGTTTCACTGAACATCCTGTGTTCTTCATTAAATCTGGTGACCCTAAGGAGGCAGTCTGAGTAGTCACTGTTGACTGAGCTGGATTAAATGTTTGGAGAAAGGTAAGCGGTTAGGTTGAACCATGTGTGTGGAGAGGTATGGCCAGATGGGTAGGCTGATGCTAAAGTAACCTCTGTGACCTAGTCAGAGGACTTAGATTTAATTTGGCACAGGGAACTCACAAGATATATAAATGAGAGGGCTACAGGTGACAGTCAAGCCATGGAAAAGTCAGCCCTAAGTAGTTTGGAGATGAACAGGAAGGCAGAGAAGGTGGGCTGGGCATGGGGGCCAGCTGCTGCCCTCTCACCTCTCCTTACTCTTGAGTTCACCTCTGACCCTGGATCCTTTGTCTCTGTTTCCAGAGTTAGCATCCTTGGCTTCTTACTCTCAAAGGTCACTTGCTACTTTAGCTATTTCTTTGCCGTCATTGGTCTCGTTTCCTCTGCTCACCTTGTAGTGTTGCCCAGTTGGAATCGCCAAGTTTCCAGTTTTGCTGAGTTTACAATTCTCAACCAGTCTAGTCCCTCACTGCCAAAGTCAGGGCACTGTGTCTTCTTAGATGTGAAAGAGCTGGGTGGCTTGGTGCCTCTGCCAGTGAGTAGCATATGGCTTCACTGAGCCCCACAGGTCTTAGCTTGTCTGTCATCGTTGTTTCCTGCTTTCTCCTATAGCCATCTAAAACCTGTCCTTGTGCTAGTGCCTGCTCCTGTCTCTCTGTGAGATGATCGTGGTGGTGCCTGTGAAGATCAGGGATTAGAGTCAGGCATCCATCGTTCTTCCCCTCACTGCTTCCTTCCTTCCTTTTCCGCATGCACAAGCACTTACTTCGTTCCCAGGGCATACATGCTCAGAGATGTAAAGAGTGTCCCTTCCCTGTTCATAGGAAGAGCCATGCCTCCTCTTGGCCATGTTGGGCTCCTGACCCTCTGTTTTCTCCTGATTTTGCCTGGTTAACTAGCCCCTTCCCATCTGCCATAAGTGTTTGTGTTTTTCTTAAGTGAGAACCTTAGATAGCTGCTTTACAGCTACTGTTGCTTTAACAGGGTCCAATCTTCCTCAGCTCTCTACCTCAGGCAGATAGTGTCCTTCTTCAAGTAAGTTGCTCTCATGAAGGGACTTCTGTGTGTGTATATGTGTTCATATGTGTCCATGGGTGTGCATGCACGTGGAGGCCAAAGTTCAACATTAGATGTCTTCGTCAAACCTCAGTCACTCTCCACCTTTTTATTTTTTGAGACATGATCTCTCACTGGACCTACTGAGCTAGACTGCCTGGTCGGCAAGCCCCTGTGCATGGCCCTGGCTTCTTCCTCCTCTGCATTGGGATTACAGGTGTATGCCATCGTTCCCAGTCTTTTCTGGTCCTCCTGCTTACATGTCAGGCACGTTACTGCCCAGGCATCTTCCCAGCCCCAACAGGGATTTCTTACTATGCAGATCTGTTAAATACTCTCCAGTGTTGGATTGTGAGATCTCTGCAATACTTAAAACCTCTTCGATCGTCAATCCTGCCACAGGATTCCTGTCTGTTCTTGCCCCAGGTTGACTGTGTCCTTGAAGGTTGGCATCAGTGGCTTCTGAATTCAGTTCTCTTTGTCTCATGGACTCCAGTAGCCCCGGTTACTACGTACTAATGGTAAATTACATGCCTATGTTGGTGGATCAGTAAATCTGTGTCTCCAGTGACTGAAAAGAATTTGAGACAGCATTCTACCAAGTCAATAGCTCAGTGTTAGTATTTCTAAAGAAAATTGCTTTTCTCTTAATGTTCGCTTCTCAGTTGTGTAATAACTAGATACAGTATAAAAGAAACTGAACCCAGACCCGGCTATCCATCACTGGCCTTCCTCATCAACACCCGAGTACAGCTGTCCCTTCACCTGTGTGATCAGGGTGGCTCCCTCCACAGTCCCCATGCCATTCACCTTTTTCTTCTCATCCATGGGGCGTACATGTGATCCCTTTCCCCTTCGGCTGGATTACATCACTCTCCCTTCTTGTCCTTTAGGTGCATACCGAACGTGTATCCCAGAGTGACGTATGATACCTTCATAATCGGGTAGCAAGGACAGTGAGAAAGCTTTGATTTTCTTTTTTTAAGTTTAAAAGTAAGTTGTTATGAATAGTGCTTTTTATGGGCTCTTGGTATGTGTCTTTTTATCAAGTTTCTGAAATTTTTAATTTGAAAAAAAAAAAAAAAACAAGCAGGCAAAGTATTTCTGCAGCCAATTCAGATAAATGTGTGATTTATCCTCTAGTTGACTGATACGTTGTCTTATTTTGCATTCTGTTGCTGTGATAAACTCCATAACCAAAAGAAAACTTGAGGAAGAAAGGGCAGCTTTGGTGTACTACTTACAGTCCATCATTGAGGGAAGTCAGAGCAGGAACCTGGAAGCAGGCGCTGACGTAGAGGCCAAGCATGTTGCTGCTTGCTGGCTTGCTCTCTGTGGCTTGCTCAGCCTGCTTTCTTATCCACACATGATCACTAGTCCAGCGTGCCCACAGTGGGCTGGACCCCCCCCCATAAATCACTAATCAAGAAAATGCCCTACAGACTTGCCCACAGGCCTACAAGATGGAGGTGTTTTCTTAATTGAGGCTCCAGATTGTATCAAGCTGACAGAAAAATTAATGCACAGGTGGTAAATCACAAGGATAGATTTGTTTCATGGAAGGCATCCTTTAAGTTAAAATTTTCAGTGTTAAAAAACAATTGGTTTTGCTGTGACATTTTCACACATGTGTGTCATTGTACCTTGCTCATCTTCCACACACATCCATGTCCCCTCCTTGCAGTCCCCACACCGTCCCCTCTGCCTTCATCTCATTCAGTCATGTGTGTTTAAATCTACGTTCTCCATATTTGAAGTATTCCAACCACTCCAACATGCAGTATTCTTTGTCCCCTTCCCCCCCTTCAGTGTCCCTCCCATGATCCACCTTCTCTGCTCACTCCACGTTTTTTGCTAAACCCTCATTGGTCACCCCACGCCCCCAGCCCAGGCATTGCTCAATTTGATTTAATATTTTTATAGGACATAGTTTTGGAGATGTGCTCAGAAGAGGCAGGCACTTAATTTTGAAAACATGATCACTACTTAATTTTTGAATTAACACTAACCTCACCATCATTAGATGGCTTCAGCATCTTCTCTCTCCCCTTGTCTCTAGTTGAAGATCAACCTGTATAATGTAAGGCTGCTGAGAAGCTGACTATGCCTCTGTGAAGCCAGGTAGTCCACTCCCTGGGCTCTCCCTGGGACTCACTGGTGATCTCTAAGCTCTATCTGGCGATTTTTGTTTCTGCCTTTGTTTTCTGTGCTACTTGTGACTGCTACGCAAGATCGTCCCTTCTGTTTACGTTTTTCAACAGTTGATATATTCAGATTATAACGTCTTAGCACTTTAAGATGTTGCACACATTCCTTGGTTTCATTCTGTGTGGTTTGCGTTTTCTCTTGTCTTTGGCAGCCTTAGGAGAGAGTTTTCTATTTTGTCCTTTCAAAATACCAGCTTTCGTTTTTCTCAGTTTCTAAATTTTCCCCTTTTGTTCATTTCTGCCTTTATCTTCATCCATTTTTCTCATTTCTGCTTTGCATTTTTACGTTCCCCTTTTTGTTGATGGTGGGGGTGGTGAGGTTAATTTTTTTCCATCTTTCTTGATGTCAGTGCTTAATTCTTATTTTCTGGGTCTGTTCAGTGCTGGGACTTGACCTCAGGGTCTTATATTTGATAGATAGGTACTCTGCCACTGAGTTACATCCCAAGCCCCT